ACTCCCGGGAGAGCATATATTGGGTGAGTAGGTTGCCAAAGAAGAACCTCTTAATTTTCCACCCAAATCTCATGCGGGCCATCTCACCGAGCATAATTTCACCCACATTAATGGGTTTTCCAGTCATCAAGAAGAATATGACACACTCTAGCTCGAGAGCAGTCGCTGCTGTGCTCCACTAGCATGAGTCTGGCTTGCACCAAATTCTGCCACACTTTGGCAGTCTTGTTAAAATCAGAATGAACCATCAAAAGGTGAACATCGTCGTGCTTCTTAGTCCACTTAGCATTGGAATCCACGCCACAAAGAGTGTGATGTATCAAGGTGTATTCTGGGCTTGTGACAAATATTTGGAGCCACCTCGGGTCAACATTCTGTACCCCTAAAAAATTACATCACGCCCTCCTATCCAATGGCATATTCATGCCACGTACATGTGACCTAGACAAGTTGTAATCCCAATTAGCATATAATTCCCTAACCATGCTCAAATTTGTATGTCCAGGGCATTCTAGGAGTTTGTCCAATTTTAATGCTCGTAATCGGCCGAGGATATCTGGGAAGTTTCGTTCCAAAGCTTTGGTATTGATCCCCATCTCGCAGACATACCGCCCATATGGCACGAAATCCCTGTGCCATGCAATAGCTGCATCTGATACTAGTTTCAACCGAGGCCTTGAGGGTAATGGAGACTGTTGTGATGTCTCCGCAACCTGTTTCCCTTTGGTTGGCCGCGAAGAGCCTTCCCCCTGCTTTTGCTTTTTAGCCGGGGGGGGGGGGTAGTGGTGGAGGACTTTCCAATGCCCTTGCCTTTGCTAGAACCATCACGAGCCATAATATACTGCAACACAAATAAGCATAGACTTGTCAAGAAATATGCCTAAGGTTGTCATGCAAGTCACGAAATGACCCCACACTTAAAACCGAAGGCACAATGTACAATACTTCACAATTTTTTTTGTTTTTGATCGAACATGTACAAGTGTTGCACTCCAAAGCTATGGGTACTCAAGACTTCCCCATGCCACACTATAGTAAAGAGGCACTAATCAATGCCACACGCATAAGTAATTGATCATGACTTCGTGAATTCACATTAAGGTAAGCAAGAGGCATATGGTACTCACCTTTCCACAACTACTAGACTATAATAAATTAGTTAAATTTACAAGATTCTACAACATACATTATACAAGATAGATGGTGTAGGAACATGTTTTGCATCAAAGCCAAACTCCCTAGCATGTAAAAGCATCCCTACACACCCCACACTTCGCCCAAATTAATACACAAATATACTAGGTTACTCAGACTTCATCGGTACACCAAAATCTTCATTCAAGCATTTTAACAAACACCTTGTGGGCATAAAGTGTGTGATTCTAATTCAACAATGGTAGACTATGGTAGCCCTCCCAAATTTCAACGAAGTAGAGGAACTTCTAGTTTACTACTCCGTATACACAATAACCACACAATTTCGACCAACTCAAGCCACCCACCATAAAAATTTCTTAAGAACTACATAGGGGAAAATTTTTGGGGATTAGGGATCTTGGGGAATGGGATGTACATTGTTATCTAACTATTAAACATACAAAGAAGAAGAAGAAGAAGAAAAAACATACCTGTAGAGTTGAGAAGGAGATCAAGAGAAAACTTTAAGAAATTTTTTTGTGAGGAAGAAGAAGAGGGCGCGGTAGAAGCAGCGTTGAGAGGGAGCAGCGTTTTGAGTTTTTTTTGTTTTTGTGTTGATTTTGGACTTTGGGTTATGGGTTAAGTTGGGTTGGGGATGGGTATGGGTATTAGAATGTTAGTATAAATGGATATTTGGGTTAGGTTAAATGGGCATGGGTCATTAAATAAATAAGAGAGCAAAAAATAAAAAGAAATAAAAAAATTACTTGGACCCCCAGCCCAGCGCTCAGCGCTATGCCTGGCGCTGGGGGATTTGAATCTTTCTATTTTCAGCACCCCAGGTAGCGCTGGGCGCTGGCCTTGGTGCTGTTTTTGAGGATTTTTGTTGTTCTTTTCGTCATCCCGATCCCTTGACCCTTTAATATACTCAGTTTACACGACCTACACCATTGTATCTAATTTTTCTATACCTACAAAGAAAATGCAAACTCTATCTACTCTAACTAAGAATTAAGAAGTTAAACTAGGAAAGCAATAAAAATTGGGTTGCCTCCCAACAAGCGCCTGATTTAACGTCGCGGCACGACGCAGAGTCTCGCTTACTATCAGCGAGTAAAACCTTGGTCTTCTCATGATTAATTATTCCCCCCCAATAGTGCTTGACTCTATGTCCATTCACCAAGAATTTTCTTTCACCATTTAAAGCTCGCAACTCAATTGCACCATAAGGAGTGACTCTCACTACCTCAAATGGGCCTGACCATCTCGATTTTAGCTTCCCAGGAAATAGCCTTAGCCTAGAATTGAATAATAATACCTGTTGGATTGGCTCTAAGTGACGCGGCTTGATGTGCTTGTCATGCCATCCTTTTGTCTTTTCTTTATAAAGCTTAGCATTTTCATAATAGTGCATCCTGAACTCATCTAATTCATTCAATTACAAAAGTCTTTTCTCGCCCGCAGCTTCAAGGTCCATGTTCAGCTTCTTAATGGCCCAATATGCTTTGTGTTCAAGTTCAACAGGCAAGTGACATGCCTTCCTATAAACAAGCTTATAAGGGGACGCCCCAATTGGCGTTTTATATGCAGTTCTATATGCCCATAGGCAACATCTAACTTTGCAGCCCAATCCTTCCTATTCACACTCACCGTCTTCTCTAATATTTGCTTTATTTCCCTATTTGACACCTCAGCTTGCCCACTTATTTGAGGATGATATGCTGTAGCAACTCTGTGGCGAACTCCATATTTAGCTAGCAGGTTATTCAACAACCGATTGCAAAGATGAGTTCCCTCATCACTAATTAAGGCACGTGGAGTCCCAAACCTCGAAAATATGTTCTTTTTCACAGACGCAGCTACCACCATGGCATCATTTGTTGGCAAGGCAATTTCCTCCACCCATTTCGACACGTAGTCAACTGCGAGCAAAATGTATTTGTTTCCTCTAGATGATGGGAAAGGTCCCATAAAATCTATCCCACACACATTAAAAATCTCAACTTCCAGGATGTTATTCAAAGGCATCTCATGCCTCATTGTGATTGTTCCTGTTCTCTAACATTGGTCACACTTCTTAACAAATGCATGGGCGTCCTTGAATAAATTTGGCCAAAAAAAACCGGATTGCAATACCTTTGCAGCTGTTCTATCTCCTCCATGATGGCTCCCATAAGGTGATGCATGACAATCAAACAACACTAACTCTACCTTCTTTTCCGGAATGCATCTCCTCATCAACTAATTAGCACATTGCTTGTAAAAATATGGCTCACCCCAATAGTAGAAGTTCACATCATGTAGAAACCTCTTTCTGGCTTCAGATTCAATTTCAGGAGGAAGTACCCCACTCACAAGATAATTCACATAATCTGCATACTATGGGGGAGGATCTTGGGTGATAGTAAAAAGTTGCTCATCAAGAAAGATTTCTTTAATTTGACCACCCTCCTCCACGTGGTCGTGATTTTCCTGCCTTGATAGATGGTCTGCTACTTGGTTCTCTATCCCCTTTCGATCTCGTAATTCTACATCAAATTCATGCAGCAACAAAACCCAGCGCATTAATCTAGCCTTAGATTCCTTTTTTGAAAACAGATACCTAATTGCTGCATGATCGGTATGGACTATGACTTTTGTTCCCACCAAGTATGCCCAAAATTTTTCAAAGGCCCACATAACAGCTAATAACTCCTTTTCAGTGGTGGTGTAATTCAGTTGTGCATCATCAAGAGTCTTACTCGCATAGTAGATGGAATAAAATACCTTATCCTTCCTTTGGCCTAGCACTGCCGCAATAGCATGGTCACTCGCATCACACATAAGTTCAAAGGGTAAGGACCAATCTGGTGCCACAATAATGGGAGCAGACACCAACTTCTTTTTGAGTTCTTCAAATGCCTTGAGGCAGGCGTCATCAAAGTTGAAAGTTACATCTTTTTCAAGCAACCTGCACAAAGGAGTAGCAATTTTAGAAAAATCTTTAATAAAGTGCCGATAGAATCCCGCGTGTCCTAAGAAACTCCAGACACCATTCACTGAAATAGGTGGAGGTGATTTTTCAACCGCCTCCACCTTTGACTTATCAACTTCAATGCCGCTCCTAGACACTCTGTGACCCAACACGATGCCTTCTTGTACCATAAAATGACGCTTTTCCCAATTCAGTACCAGATTTGTTTCTTCACAACGGGCCAGCACCTTGCTTAAATTCCTCAAACAATCATCATAAGATGACCCAAAGACTGAAGAATCATCCATAAAGACTTCTGCAACATTTTCCACCATATCAGTGAAAATAGCCATCATGCATCTCTGGAAAGTAGCTGGTGCATTACAAAGACCAAACGGCATTCGCTTGAAGGCAGAAGTGCCATAAGGACAAGTAAAAGTGGTCTTCTCTTGGTCCTCTGGGCATATGACAATCTGATTGTATCCCGAATAACCATCAAGGAAGCAATAATATTCATGCCCGGCTAATCTGTCCACATTTGGTCAATGAATGGAAGTGGAAAGTGGTCCTTGCGAGTTGCTTTGTTGAGCCTTCTATAATCAATGCAGACTCTCCACCCCATGGTAGTTCGAGTAGGAATTAGCTTATTTTTCTCATTCTCAATCACAGTCATCCCCCCTTTTTGGGCACACATTGAACCGGGCTTACCCAGTTGCTGTCAGAAATAGGAAAGATGATACCTGCATCGAGCAATTTGATTACTTCCTTTTTCACAACCTCTTTCATAATGGGATTTAACCTTCTCTGCTGCTCCACACTGAGGTGGTGTCCATCCTCCAAAAAGATTCTATGCATGCAAAACGATGGGCTAATTCCCTTAATGTCAGCAATAGTCCACCCAATAGCCTTTTTATGCTCGCGGAGTACTCTGAGCAATTTTTCTTTTAGTGTTAGTCAAGCTGGAGGAAATAATCACGAGAAATGTCTCAGAGTTCCCCAAATAAGCATAACGCAGGTGCGCTGGTAGAGGCTTAAGTTCTAGCTTTGGGGCTTCTTCAATAGATGGCTTTGGAGGGGTCAAAGTGACCTGTCTGTCCAACTCCTCAAATTTTCCAAACCCATGGACATAATTGCATGGCATATCAAGTACTTGCTCAATTTCTCCCGTCATTTCATCTTTACTATCTTCTTCATCCCCAATCAAAGCTCGTTCAAGAGGATCTACAGGGCTCATATAAGGCACTAATGATGTAGCATCACTTTCCACCACAGAAATCATGGATAGCTCTTCATAGTGGGCTGGTAACTTGAGTGCTTTATAAACATTGAATACCTCCACTCGATCACCCACTCTCATTGTCATCTTTCCTTCGCAAACATCGATAATAGCTCGACCCATGGCTAAGAATGGACGCCCTAAAATAAATGGGACTTCCTGATCAGGCTCGTAATCCAAGATAATGAAATCAGCAGGGAATATGAAAGAAACCACTTGAACTAACACATTTTCAATCACTCCTTCAGGATGAGCAAGGGAGAAATCAGCCAACTATAAGATAACTGTTGTTGGGCGTGGCTCACCCAACCCCAACTGTCTGAACACAGATAGCGGCATCAAATTGATGCTCGCTCCAAGATCACATAAAGCTCACCCAACTGCATGTTTACCAATCGAGATTTAGATAGTGAAACTACCTAGATCCTTCAATTTCTGAGGTAGGTTGCCTTTAATTCTTGAACTACACTCCTCAATGAGTGCCACAGTTTCGAATTCGATCAGCCTCCTTTTATTTTTCACTATGTCCTTGATGTACTTTGAATATTTGGGCACTTCTTGCAAGATGTCAACCAACGGAATATTAATTTGCACCTATTTCAAAATATCAAGAAACTTTTTATATGCGGCATTATCCTTTACATTCTGCAATCTTTTAGGGAACGGAGGTGGTGTCCTTGCAACCAATGGTGGGGGTATCTCAACCACCGCCTCTCCAGCTGGCTTCTCTGACTCCTTAGATTTTTCTGATGTTGATTCTATAGTGTCTGGCCTCTCATCAAAATTCACCTGTTTTCTCTTTTTCGACTGAACTTCTTCTAATTGTCTCCTATTCCTCAATGACACGACATTAAGGGATGCCTTAGGATTAGCTTCAGTGTCACTGGGAAGAGCTCCAACCGGTCTAGTGTTTTGAGCACTAGCAAGCTGTCCCATTTGGTGCTCCAAATTTCTCATTGTTGCGGCTTGGGCTTGCTGCTCAGCCATAAATTTCTGAGCGAGGGATTGCTGTTCAGCCATCACTTTTTTCAACATGTCTTCAAGGTGACTTGTTGGACTCGCTTGTTGTTCATCCTGAGGTGGTCTATATTGCTGTTGAGGTTCTTGAGGCCTGTATTGATTCTGAGTACCTTGGTTTCCACTCCAAGAGAAGTTTGGGTGGTTCCTCCGGTTGGAATTGTAAGTGTTCCCATATTGGTTTGTTTGGCCCCTATTTGCATTACCCACAAAGCAGACAGACTCTGGATTAGCGGGGCATAAGTCACTCGTGTGACCCTCTCCACATATTTCAAAAAACACTTGAACCTGTTATACCACCTGTGCTTGTTGCTTGTTGATAATCAAGGTCATCTGATTGACTTGGTTGGTCCGTGTAGAAATTTGCGCTGATAATACCGAGACGACATCTAACTCAAGAACCCCTGCAGACTTATGCACTGTGTGCCTGCCTATCTCTCCTTGCCAATCCGGATTGCTTTTGGAGAATTTGTTCAATAATGCATATATCTCGTCAAAGCTTTTCTCCAACACTTGACCTCCAGCGGCAACGTCTACCACAATCTTTGTTTCAGGATGTAGACCTTCTATGAAAGTGTGAGCTAATACTTCTCTTGTCTGATTGTGATGAGGACAGACTCTGGTTAGCCCCTTGAACCTCTCCCAAGCTGAGTAGACGACAACTATCTCACTTTGGATCTTTGCAGTTTTGCCTGAAAGGAAGAACCTTGCCAGAAATTTCCTTGCCAAATCATTCCATGAGGTAATAGAATTAGCTGGTTCTGCCTTCAGCCATCGCTTTGCTTCGCCCAACAGTGAGAACGGAAAAAGTGTAAGCCTCACATAGTTTGGAGTGACTCCGTTAGTGATGTAAGTGTCACTAATCTCCAAGAAGTTCAGGATATGCTGTTGTGGATCCTCGTGTGGAAGACCTATAAACTGCCTATTCACATGAAGTAGCTGGATCATGCTTTGTTTCAGCTCAAAGTGCCCAGTGACTCTGGGCTTCACAATGCTAGAGGTGACATTGGCAATACTAGGCATTGCTACCTCCCGAACAACCATTTGATGCTCCTCTGCCATGTTCCCAGGAAATTGAACAAGTGCCTGAATATTATTCGTATCCCTTGCTTCCCTCAACCTCCTGTGAAATGTTCTCTCAGGTTCAGGGTCAAAGCCTTGAAGTCGGTCCTGGCTTCTGACCCTACACATTCAATCAAAGTTCCTGAGATCCGAGCAACAAACAAGTAACATTGGTCTTGACAAAATAAACAATTAAAGCAAAAACTAGAAAGTAGTTAATATTCAAGTCGCCGGCAACGGTGCCAAAAACTTGTTGCTTCCAAACGCACACGCAAGTATACTAGTCGTACAAGTAATAAAATGTTAAGTCAAGTGTCGAACCTACAGAGACTTGTATCACCTACCCACTAAAATCACCAAGATTGCTATTTAGTCAAGCTAAAATCAAGTTCAAGAATGTCATTATACTAAATTATAATTATAAGTAATAACCAAATTATCAAGCAGTAAAATGATTGTTATGTATTCAATAGGGACAAATATTCTAGGGTTGTGATCGATTCACCAATCTTATTGTGTTCTAGTTAACTCTCTCTCTTTCATACAATTCACTCATGGTTGCTAATTAATCGATAATTGCTCTCATAGCCTTCTCCCGAAGTACTACTCGCCTATTCAAAATAGATTAACACCTATATTCGTATGGAATCAATCTATTAAGAACGCATTAAGATTACGATATTTAATTAAGCACGGTGACTAGGTATATTCCTATTCTAACCACAAATCCGCCCCCCTAAGAGTTAGATCATGCTCTCTTCACTTCTTCTCTAATCTAAACATGGCTTTCCCAAGCATAGCATAGATAGTCAATAGAACCTAACTGCTGGCCAGACAATTAAGCAATTAATCACAGAATTGAAGAAACAACCATATATTGGTGAATTTTAATCAAGTTTAAGTCAACGTCAAACAACAATATTCATAGCTAAATCACAACCCCAGAACAATGGATTTTTAGCCACTCATGATAATAGCAAATAATTTCATAAGTGTTGAATAATTGAAAATACTAGAAAAAAATGAAGAAAACTGAGATCTCTTCGCTTTCGAATGTTTCTCGTATGTATTCTCTCTCAAAAGTGGCGTCTCTCCCGCACACATAAGTTTAGTCTTGCTTTTATACGTGTTGGGTAGGTCTAGGGCCGAAATAACTGTATTCCGGGCGAAATTGGAAAAACTTCACGTCACTGGCCCTGGCTAGCGCCAGGCGCCCTCCACGGCGCTGCCTGCTTGAGTAATCTGTTTCTGGTGCCACAGGTAGGGCTGGGCGCTGCACTGCCCAACTTTCCTATTTTCGTCCGTTTTGGCTCTCATTTCGCACATATCGCCCCCGATTGCTCTCGGATCATTCCTACACATAAAAATACCTCAAATTAATATAAATCAATACATTTCACATCCTAAATTCATGAAACAAAAGTAATATAAGAGGCAATATACATAGAAATATATATACTTTAAGCTAAACATCACATATCACATCTCCTTTTTTTCGGGGATGGGAAAAGTAGTTTATTCAATCAAAGTGATATTATTTGGAAAGGGATTATTTTTGTTAATTTTAGGTGTCGTGTTTTGGAATAAATTAATTAGATATTCCAAGTCAACAATTTTAAAATCCTAATTCAAGGAAAGTTTTGACTCCAAATTATGGTCCACGAACACAGAAGATCGGGTAAGGAATTCTGTTGATCGGGGAGAAAGTGTAAAGCACCCCCAAGTCCCGTAGTTCTAGCACGATCACTTAACAATTTATACTTGGCGTAATCTAATTCCGGATATTCTATGTTTTAAGGAATTTTATGCATTTACGCTTTTATACCACTTTTAATTGCTTGATTTATGGACTTATGAAAATTATCTTGAAACAAGTCGTATGTGTACCTATCTGTCCGCGTATCAAAAATTATATCACACATACGTGTACATGGTTTAAAGACATATTATTATGATTAAAATTAATTTGTCAAGTTGTACAATTGCGTACTTTGTCATTTAATTTATGGATCATAACTATGTCATGCGAACATGTACATAACCATGGCAATTGATTTGTTGAAGTGCGCCTAGAAATAAACTAGCAATTTTAGCTATTTTAATCGTTTATTAGTTATAAAAGAAGTGCACTAGCTTATTTGAATTGGTGTTGAGCCTAGTATAACTGATTTCAATAGGCCCACAAGTACCGAAAGCCTCTAATCTATTTGTGTCCTTTTATCAAGGGAGTTTATAGCTTTACCCACAAAAACTAAACTAATTATCCATACCTACCCATTAGTTTTTCTACCCATCAAACTAATTAGCCTTCCTACCCATTGTAGCTTTTGTAGGTAATTGTTTTTTTTTTCTCATTTTCTTTTTTGTTTCTCTGCTTTTTTTTTTTCTTTTCTTTCTTTTCTCCTTTTATTTTTTCTCCTTTTTTTTCTGCTCATATTTTTTCCAGAATCATATTATTCTTTATTTTCTTTATTCAATAATCTTGTTTTATACTCAATTTGACTCGTTTCTTTTTATTTTTTTATTTTATTTTTCTTTCTTTTTTGTTTATTATTTAATTTCATGTTCCTTTTCTAATTTCATTGAACTTTTTTTTAATTTTTTTCCATATTATAATTTAATGTCTTCCGATAACTAGTTCATATACAATTAATATTATTTTTATGGAACTCCATAAAAAATTCATTTAAGAAAATATTTGCAAGGACCTAGTTGGAAAAATTCAAATAAATTAAAAAATGACTTATTTATTACTGTTATATTATATTGTATACTATAAAAATATAATGCTACTAAAACCATACCTTTAGCTTTGCACAGTAGCACCTAGATAATTCAACAAATAGCAGTCAAAGTATACTATTATGGTATATTGTATACTATTACAACATACTATTATAGTATACTGCATATTATTACAGTATACCATTACAATATATTGTATACTTATAACAGTATACTATTGCAGTATAGTTATATACTCCTACAGTATATTGTATACCATAGCGGTATCCTATTAGGTAACTGTGTTCTTTTTTGAGTATTACAGTATACTATTGCAGTATATTATATACTATGACAATATACTATTGCAGTATAGCTATATACTCCTACAACATATTGTATACCTTAGCGGTATACTGTTGGTTAACTATGTTCTTAGATTTTCAACAGAAAATTTCGACCTCAATCAACTCAAATCAGCTCCAAATGCGATCAAGTTTCAGTATGACTTCCAAAAGGTACTATAAGCAATATTTAATAACACTCACTTTGAATCAAACAAGAAATTTTTAAAATAAAAAGTTTAAATTCAAGAGCTTCAAGCCCAATAATGGTAGATATTCAAATACACATAAAAATTAAGATCCGAGAAGCTTACTTGAAGGTACTATAAGCAATATTTTATAGCACCAACATCGAATCAAGCAATAAATCTTCAAAATAAATTTCAAATTCAGGAGCTTCAAGCTCAACAATAGTGGGTCTTCATATACACATAAAAATCAGATCTGGGAAACTTAATATATATAACCACAACAACACATGGGTTCATAAATACAAAATACACAAAAAAGAATATACTAATATAGAAAGAGGATTTTGGAGTGAAACTCATGTACAATAATATGAATATTTGTCTTTTAAAATTTATATAGAAAGTTCTAAAGAAAAAGGTAAATGCATGGGTTTGTACTGGATTTTCATCACCCACTAAAAAGACTAAGCTATGAGTATTTTTTGAAAGGGGAAATGAATGTTGTGGTGTGGGACTCTAGCTTGTTTAGAGAAATTGAAAAGGGAAAAGGGATTGGGTAGGAGGGTAAATAGTTTAGGCTGTATAGATAGGAAAAGTAAATCTTTTGAGCTTGGATAGTAAAGGATAAATAGTTTGAGTTTAATGGATATAAAGTGAGATTTTTCCTTTTATCAACCTGATGTTGTGGCCCATTAACGCTAAAGAAATAGCATTATGTCAATAATTCATTCATATAGTTATTTCCAAGTTCTTAAAACGAATCTAATGAAGTAAGAATAACTCATATATTCAGTAAGACCAAACTATCGAATATTAGAGAAACAAGGATATGAATCCATTTGGATCTAACAGTTTGTAGGACAAAGGAAGAAAAATAATCTTAGGGACAGCAATATTTAACAATGACAGAATCAACTTTATCATGCTATCATTCATATAACAAACAACATATAAAAGAAAGTGTAATGACCCTATCGGTCGGTTTACTTTTTAGATCCCCGTTCGCCTAATTTAAGACTCTCTGTATGTGCTTTTTCTGTTTTATAATTTACGGAAATGGTTGGTTTAGGTTTGGAAGGGTTCGGGTTGAAATTGGAACACTTAGTTCCTTAATAGTGGCCTAGGATGGCCAAGTTTGACTTGAGTCAACATTTTAAATAAACGACATCGGAACCGGAATTTGATAGTTCCAATAGATTCGTATGATGATTTTGGATTTGGACGTATGTTCGACTGAGTTTCGGGTGATCCGAGAGCGTTTCATCGTTTAATGTTAAAAGTTGGTTCATCGGAAGCTTACTAGTTCTTTAAATTTGGTTTGGAGCAGACTTTGGTGTCATCGAGGTCCATTTGGATTCCAAGTCTGGGAATAGGTCCCTATGGTGATTTATGACTTGTACGCAAAATTTGGTGTCATTCTGAGTAGTCTAAGTATGATTCGGCACGTTCGGAGCTAGTTGAGAGGTTTGAAGTTCATAAGATGATCCAATATGGTTTTGGGATCTGATTCTTAGTTTTGTTATTGTTTTACATGTTCTGAGAGTTCGAGAAGGTCCGTATTATGTTTATGGACTTGTTGGTACATTTGGACGGGGTCCCGGGTGTGTTTCGGCTCGCCCGGAGCTAAGTCGGAAACACCATAAACTTCCTGTTCTGCTATCATTCTTCGCGAACGCAAAGAAGTGGTCGCATTTGCGATGAAGGAATAAGACTGGTGGCATTTTTTCAACGTGTTCGCGAG